CCTTTATCTTAATCTACATCTCTTTTTCATATTTTTTAGCAATCAGACTATCACTTTGCTCTTTTACGTGCTAGTTTCAACCCAACTCAAAAAGGACATGACATTGTTATCGTTTTCAGTTTCCGGAGTACACGAATTCTCGGGTAAATATGTATATATATACTTCTGAAATGCATCGTGAGAGCTAGGCCCCAATTTCATAATATCTTCAGGCCAAGACCAAGTCAAGAAAGTAGACTAGCTTACGTATATTTAGACTTTAGTGAAAAGCATATATGCACATAAATACGCATTTTTTAAAAATGTATATATATATTTATTCATTTATTTATTTCCCTCAAATGGTTTGATTCCACAATTAGATATACCCATTTATTTTTTCATCCTAAGCCCACTAACTTATTTCATCATAAAGCTCACACATGCGAACAAAGGAGAAAAATTGGGATTATTATGAACTGCTATATATATATATATATATATATATATTTGTATTTATATATGAATTAGGCTTATCTTGAATTGGTCTTGTTACGAAGATATAATAAGAATTTTGTCTAGCTATGACAGTGCCTTTCAGGAATCAGACTAAAGCTCAACTCGATATCACCGGAAACCACGTAGAGTCTCTAAGGCTGCGTTAGCAATAACGTCCCAATGAAACTAAATAACACGGAACTACACAGTCGATTTCTAACAAGATCTATCCGTGAGTCTCTTAAGCGCACACTTACACATGAAAGAAAAGTCATCTCATAATTAACTTGATGAGCCCATATGGACAAAGGTAAGCTTGAACCAGCTTCAGTCTGCCAGGTTGCTAAGGTTACTAGATCGTATTTAAGGAGATCCCCATACTGATATCTGTGTATTAAATCACTATAAGAAAGGTGAATAGGGAGAACATTAGCCACCACAATGCCAGCTCCCATGCCAGCTTTATGGCTTTTCCCTAAATGTTTCAGCCATTCATTCGCTCTAGACTAAATTGCAACTTCGAGGAAAGCTGATGAGCCAGACTAGAGGAGTAAACCGATGTGATGTCGACGGCTTCAGATCCTCTCAGAGTGTACCAGCAGACATGAGGCTGCGTTATGCTGATGCGAAGCCCATTTTTACTTGTGCATATGTGCATGTGTGTATGTGTGTGTGTACTAGCAGTAGTTGAGTTTGGTGAGTTTTAGGTGAAAAATACAAATAAAGCAATATTTTCATAAAGATACTGTGTTAGCAAAGCCCATACACACTACCATGACGCGATACACAAAATTATAACTCTCTAACACACACATGCAAATGCCTATACACTTTTGTGCCTTGTTTGAGTCCGTTTCCAGCATGTTGCTTCTCCTCTTTCGTGCCGTGCGCACTGAAGACTTGCAATACGTATACAAACACACATACGCAAACACGCATACGCACTTACAAGTTGAGACATTCGCTTGAGGATAGGTAAAGCTAGATAGAATTTGTTCTTTCTAAACTCACGACGTTCTGATTATATTCGGGGTTGGGCTGCCATGCTCAAACCTTGTTGACTTTCCCTCGCCATTCCACTCGCGAGATGTCAGGATGTCACTTTTCTGCCTATCACCTGAACAAATCTTCTTCTGGTCGAGTGGGCCGCTAAAAGGCGTGATGAGTGAAGAAGGTACAAGTAGGTGGTTCGACTGTGCTGTACACGCAGGTAGAGATAAAGTCTTCTGAGATGACTGCAAAGACGACTGAGAGAGCAAGAAGTGGGCCTGGATTGAGGCGAGGCAGATAGTCTGCCATGCTGCTGGTGCAACAGTCATAAGCTAAAGTTAAAAATAATAGTTCTGGTGGTAATGACTTGTAAATGGGGGGTTGGATGGGGTGGGTGAAACCAGCGAAGGGAGGTGAGATGAGTCCACAATATCAGGCATACTAGCATTTGTGGGTTAGATATGGATAACATCTATTTATCTACATTTTTCCCAGGGACAAATATGGGAGTAGAGTGGAAATACTCTTGGTCTTTTAGCAAAATGAAGGCTTTCTGTCTAACAAAACTGTATACATAAATATCAATATATTTTTGTACTTGGCCTGGGAAAGGTAGGTAGGCTGGTAGAATTTTTCCAACTCACTTGCTAACTTTGTGGCTGCTAAGGCGATTTCTTATCAAATACTCGTTTTAGGCTGGGGCTTACTTTTGGAGGGCATCTCTGCACGCAAACAAGAGTTGAACAGCTTCAGGCAAGTGGATTGACCTTGTCTTACAAATTGGCCGTGTTGTCAGGGCGACCTAGATGAATGCATCTTGACCTAAGTCATCTGCTATAGTAGGTATGATAATTCCCAGCTTCGAATAGTGAACTTACACATTAACAAACGATTCGCCGGCCTTGTGGTAGGCATTGCCAGTGAATTTTGCCATTTTAGACACCGCATTAAGGCTTGTCAACGGGACGAATCTGGTGGGTTGTCATTTGGTGCTGAGAATGGCAACGTTCACTGGCGATGCCGACTACGATACCGGCGAAACGTCTGTTGATTTACGAAGCATACAGTGTAATGCTGCAAATTATCATAACTATTATAGCGGACGACTTCGGATAAGTTGAGTTCAGCTAGGCCGCCCTGACAACACGACTAATTTGTGAAAACGAAGTCAGACCACTTCTATGCAGCAAAGGAGACTAATACCAAAATAGAGGTCACATCTTGATCTTCATGTCTACGAGTGTACGTGAACTTTACCTGGCTTTAGCACGTGTACATTTTGCCTGCTGGTCTAACTTGACCTGGAACAAAGTAGACCGGTGTTACCGAGTGCTCTCTGGCCGGTATTCGGCAAGACTTCGGCCACTCCATGCACGACAACTGATCACCGAAACCGTGAGAACCGGAGATGAGGATTTAGACTCTTCATGTTGTTGCGGCCGTCGGAGCGTTACTGAGTGCATATGATGGCACTGCTGCCGTGTGTTACTTACTGTTGGAGGATCACTAGCCTTGAGGACAAATGAGAAAGAAGTGTCATTGCGTCTTGATTAGTCGAAACGATTACTCCTGGTTTCATACATTTACGTACTCATAACAATACACACAAGCATACACACGTATGTGTTTATAGATTGACATATGGCGTGAAAAGATCAAATTGCTCCATACTTTCTAAGAGTGCATCGGAATAAAGTATGTATACAGTATGCTGGAATAAATCGGTGAGTTATCTTTGCTCGCTAGATCTAATTAACTGCAATAATGATACTACGACCTGATAATGTCGAACGACAGCTAACCGTCGTCTTCTAGTGTGATTCATCTTTAACTCTCTTCATCATCCGCTCACATTCTAAATGTTAGCGAGCTCAGCACTTGTGATCTTTGAACATCCCTGAAACTCAACTTTTCTTTGTATATATTCGAGGCAATGGAGCTTCTGTATGAAGCAGCCTTTTGGTGCAGAAAAAACTAACTTAACACGACTTTGCAGGAATTCTCATGAGCAGGATCCTTATACATTTGAATGTTACATGAGATTATCAATAAGGCGATTTGAGCAAACCTATACCGCCAGCGGGTATAACCAGTCGATGGGAAAACCGAACAGGTGAAGTTTGATATTCAAAAGTTAGTCATCTTGGCCTTCACTGAGCCGTTGTTATGGTACATTTTGTCCTAGAGTGGATAAATGGGAAGGCTTCACGATTGAACAAGCAGAGTAATCTCATGCAATCATATTGAAAACTATCCTTTTGTGTGATTAAGAGCATTGTAGGTCGATCTCAACAGAAGACTGCGACGGATTCCCTTGATACAGCAGGCAGGCCTAATTTGATAAAAGTGGGTTGACCCCATTGTCGCAACTTGGTCTTGTTGTCAGGGCGACTTAGTAGAACCAACCTAGTCCGAAGTCGTCTGCCATAGTAGTTGTCATGATTCATAGCATCAGACAGTGGACTTGGTACATTCTCAAACGTTTCGCCGGCATCATATTCGGCATCATCAGTGAATGCTGCCATTCTCAGCACCAAGCTACGAAATCGTCAAGGAAACAAGTGAAGTAATTTGGTGCGGAGAATTGCAGCCCTTACTGATGATGCCGACTATGATGCCGGCAAAATGTTTGAGAATGTACCAAGTCCACTGTTTGCTGCTGGGAATTATGACAACTATTATGGCAGACAACTTCGGATTAGGTGCGTTCTACTAAGTCCCCCTGATAACAAGACCAAGTTGCGACAGCGAGGCCAATACACTTCTATAAATCGAAGGGAGACTGCGACCCTTCCAGAGGCCACACCATCTTAGTCTTCATATCTAATTTGATAAAGTCCATGAGTCGAAAACGGACTGGGCTTTTGTTCGTCCTGTGACTAGACCGACATAGTCAGATCAGAATCTCATTCCTACAAAATTTGCAAGCTATCTTCAAGTCAAGGAGGGTAACCGTCACTTGCTTTACATCCTGTACATACTTACAACAATAAAAACATGCAACCGTCCCGTTTTTGGTATGGTTTAAATGATAGTCTATCATCATGACCTGAATAAGTGAATTAAAAAAATGACAGGAAAGGTCAAACCAACACAATCCCTTCAGGATAATATCCCACTTCGTAGCTGCATGAGCGTGACCTGGCTTCAAGAGGGGCATTGCCGAGCAGACAAGGAGATGACAAAAGAGGCCAGAGTTTTCAAGCTTCAAGTAGATTTGAAGAGTAGACATGAACCTACCAACATCGGTCATCTCGGTATTTATCCCTAAATTGTGTCCTCACTCAACAAGGCCTACAGCTCCGAACCAGTCCACGACTCATAGGCACCTCGTCAGAGAGCTAAAAACAATGAAGTGGGTATTCAGAAAAAGATAATTTCCTTAATGAGGCAGCCTGTTAGTAACATTGGAATGCCGATGTTGCTTATAGCCTTATATTATGCTTGGCATAACTTTCCTCATCATTTAAAGACTCACTTCAAAGACGACATCTCCCATTATTATTATTATATATTAGAGTAGCATGTGATCCATAGAATTCCGGTTGTCATTAATTGGTGTATGTACTTCATATATTTATAGATAATTTGACTACTAATATATTACTACTATACTATTACTTATAGTAATGGCGATTAAATTAAATATTTTGACCAAAGAGCCGTACATACGTCAGCAGCATAAAAAGGGACACGAATGCACTTTACATAAAGAAAGAAATGCAAAAATATGAAACAGTTTTCCGTAGAGGAAACAAAATCATTTTAACAGGCAATTTCTACATGTTTTTGACCGGGTCAAGAGTACAGGAACTCTCTGAAGTCCATAGGCAACCAATGTTCTGTATCCTCTTTTGAGTTATCTCGTCTTCCAACTATCCAATTCCCATCTATAACAGCTATTGTATCATTTAGATATGTCGAGCGTTCCGATACAGCAATGGATCGATCTACAGCTGTTTCTGGTAAGTACTGCATGAGAGTCTCACATGGCAACAAATTCAGAAAGATACTGGCATGGAGAAATGGAAGAGCGAAGCGCTGCTGGTGTACAAACAAATACGCCTTACGACCGACCCACTGGTGTCTTCACGCTCGGACCCGAATGCGCCATACGAGAAGAGTTTATGATAATTTTGAAGGTTTTCTACATCATAATGATCGAGCTTACTTCCATTTCGAGTGAAAGTGTTGCGTGAAGAGATTCGAAGGTCGATCCAATCATGACCAGCTGTCAGTTAGCTTTACTGGAACATTCTTGTTGACGCTGTCTCAGAGACAATACCCTTCGATTTAGGTGAAAACGGGCGATGAATGAAAGCTTGGCACTTTTTCACCGGAATCTAAGTAGTTTGCTTCAGAAATTGCGTCAGCAAGAATGTTCCAGTAAAGCAAACCGACAACTGGTCAAGAGAAATCCGCCGTCGTCTTTTGGTGGGATCGACCAAACACTTTCGCTGGAAATAGAAGTAGGCCCAACAATTATGAAGCAAGAGATTCCTCGAAACCCAACGTTTCTTTGCCTTTTCTACATCATGCCTGATCCTCACACCTCAAATGAGATCATAACTTGGCAGCAAAGCAAACTATGAGTCAGCGAATATATTTAATTCACACTTGTCACGATCACTATGCTACCTCGAGAACCTGAAAAAGAATCATGATGAAAAAACTGTTGAATAATCGAGGACGGGTAAGCTGATAAGCACTATTCGTCATAATTGAGGTCGTTTAATAGGTCCTTCTTTCGGAGTGGCAAGATTAGCCTAGCGAGCTCATTTCGGTTGTATTAGACAGGGTTGGGATGGAAATAAAGCATATTTACTCGGTGGTGATGATTGTATTGCCAAAATCCTGTTTAGAGCATTACGAAAAAAGTCTAGTGGATTTATTTAGGTAGAAAAAAGTATTACTCGAAGAAAGGAAGATTTAATGAGATTGGGCTTGGCAAAGGAAAAAGTCGGTTTGCGGTAAGTGTGAGAAACGTGGCTTTCTAACAAAGTTTTCTAAAAACCTGGTGGAGAACTAAACCACTTGTATTGAACCGATTGTTATGATTAGTATAATTAAAGTAACTATATTCTAAGCTTGAGCTCTTAGAATGTATTGATGATGATATGCACAAGTTCAGACCTTGGGACTAAAACTCCTTATGGGGATACTGGCAACTTGTCACTGCTGGACTATGAAAGAAATTATGCAAACCGAATAGATGGTAGCTAAGCGATTAAATGAAAAGCTAAATTTTGATAACCGAAATTAGATGTATTTACCATATTTCGTTTTCAGGTGATGAAAGACAGGAAGTTGAATTTTCCCACAATAATATGAGTAGAGTTTATGTTTCTATGAGACCTGGTCTAGGTTGAACCAGCATTCCTCCCTGGATGGAAATACCTTTTTGGAAGCATGGGTATGTGAAATTTAATGAAAACGTTTGTCCTTCTCATATCATTACGAAGAATATTTAACTACCATCATCGCTTTTAAATGAAATCGGGTGGATATATGTCACATATATGATCTACTGCTAGTCTTGGAAACCTACGAAAAAAAGCAAGATGTGATCATTTTTGACCGAGTATGGTAGGGGAGGTACAGGAAATATTCTCAATCTGAACTCCTATTTATACTTGTTTACACTTACTAGTCCGAACACTCAGACACACAACTTAGTAGGCGCTCGACGGATATAAGAGATTAACTAAGCTATCGAGATAGTGAGACATTTATTAGAAGGTTTAACATGAACAAGAAGAGGCTAAATATCTGTGAAAATGTAGATAGAATGCGAGGCATTCATTGTGAATGAGCTTTATGTATCGCTGTGGCGATGCGAGATGATTGTAAATTTACCTGCTCGAACATTTAAACTCGTTTACATAACATCACCTGAATAGTAAGCTTTTACCTATTTGAATAGGCATACTCGGAAATTATGATTATGATTTAAATAAAAGATTGTTTCTCCAGTAAATCAGAGAGTTGAGATAGGCGTGCCCTACCATAAAAGTCATGCTAGAATAGGAGGGCTCAAAGAATAACGAGTTTCTAGAGCTCAGAAGATGTATGTCATGCCGTTAAATACGAGAACGTGTACAGACTCATCAATGTTAGGTGGGAGTGCTCTCAGGACAAGTACGCTCAGAGCAAATGTCATGACTCCATATTAGTCTTCCTTCAGACGAAAGGTGAAACCAACCCTTCCAATTAACATTGTATGGGAAAATAAAAGAAGATTGTAAAGGGAATAGAATAAGTTAAATCATCGCAATTTTCATGAGCACATTTCTCTTAAAGTAGAAATAGTGAGTATTTAATTAGGCATCTCTTTCATCGCTTGCGGCATCCAAGGTGATAACGTATATTTC